TTGTGCACATTATAAATAAGACAGCAAAAGCCGCTTACCTGAAGACGTATACCTGCATCAATCGTGCTTTCTCATTAGTGAAAAATTGCACTACTTTTAATTGGGGGATGACTGTTTAGCAAAAGGTTCTACTTCATGGTACTCAGAGAACAACAGATATATAATGACCTTTTGCTTCTTTTGTGTTTTTTAAGAGAAAAGTCATTAAGGAGAAGGTGAGGGGGAGGATAAGACTAACAAGTAGAAAAAAATTATGGTATTGAGTAGATGCCTGGACAAGGAAGAACACAGAGTAACATGAACAGTCAGAAATCTGATATGAATAGAGACAGGTCTGACCTTTTTGTTTGTTTTGTTTAAGAAAACTTTGAAGTTTCATGTCTTTCTTCCCTCCTCCTCCTCCTCCTCCTCCTCCTCCTCCTCCTCCTCCTCCTCCTTCTCTCTCTCTCTCCCTCCCTCCCTCCCTCCCTCCCTCCCTCCCTCCCTCCCTCCCTCCCTCCCTCTCCCTCTCTTGCATTAAAGGAAATTCCTTAGTTGTTAGGATTGGCTAATGGCATTGGCCTAAAGTTACCAATCAAGACTACCAAGTAACACTATTTTACATCCCTATACATCTTGGTTTGGTAATTTTTATTTCACCTTTAGAAAGACATTTTAAAGTCAATGACTATCCTATATAATAAAAGGCTAATATGCAAATTGAGCAGACAGCAGAACTATGATGCACACTGACCACCAGGGGGCAGATGCTCAACCAGAAGCCGGGCTCATGGCTGGCGAGTGTAGCAGTGGTGGCAGGAGCCTCTCCTGCCTCTGGCAGTGCTAAAGACCCCTGACTGTCGGCTTAGGCCCACTCCCCATTGGACATCCCCCAAGGGTTCCCAGACTGCAAGAGAGCATAGGCCGGGCTGAGGGGCCTCCTCAAGTGCACGAATCTCGTGCATCAGGCCTCTAGTGTGTGTGTGTGTGTGTCTGTGTCTGTGTGTGTGTGTGTGTGTGTGTGTGTGTGTGTGTGTCTGTGTGTATAAAACCAGCAACCTGAACATCAGTATGACCGGTCGCTATGACACCCACTGTAGCCAGCAAACTGGCCCAATTGGAGGGTGGGGCCGCAGGGCCAGCCAGCCAACCTCCTACAGCCCCTTCCCCTGGCGGCCCCACCCCAGATTGGCCCAAGGCCCCTCCCCTCAGCCAGCTCCGCCCCCAATCGCCCCCCCCCCACACACACACACACACACATACAAACACGCCAATTGGGGGTGGGGCTGGTTGGCCATCCTCCCCTGGCCCCATTCATGGGTGGGGCCAGCCATCCCACTGCCCACAGCCCCTCCCCATGGCCAGCCAATCACCTGTGGCCCCTCCCCCCAGTTGGCTCAGTCCTAATCAGGCCCTGATCAGGGTGGGCTGGCCAGCCAACCTCCCGCCGTCTCCTCCTCCTGACAGGCCTGGTCCCAATCTGCCAATTGGCACTGGGCTGGCCGGACCCCACCCTTGCACAAATTCGTGCACTGGGCCTCTAGTTTAAAAATAAATGTGTAGGAACCCCTGATGCTCATGTTCATGATCTTTTGTCATGTACCCCAGACATATTCCAGATTTCACAGGAAGATTTCGTTGTTCCTACTTCAATGCCTCTAGCCCCCTCTCCTCTGCTTCCAAGGAGTCATCTATGTGGATTCAAGGAGGACATTTATTAAGTTATGATGCCTATAGCTGTCCTTTTTTGGAGGGCAGCTTTCTTAAGAAAGGCTGGATTGACCCAGCCAGCATGGCTCAGTGGTTGAGCATCGAGCTATGAACCAGGAGGTCACAGTTTGATTCCCGGTCAGGGCACGTGCCCGGATTGCAGGCTTGATTCCCCAGCGTGGGGCATGCAGGAGGCAGCCGATCAATGATTCTCTTTCATCATTGATCTCTCTCCCTCTCCCTTCCTCTCTCAAATCAAGAAAGGCTGGATGGGGCAGATTATACCAGTATGCTTTGAGTTTTCAGGAAAATATATTTTTCTTTTGGTTTGTGTTCTTGTACAATTACTTGTAATTTTCTTGACAGAGGAAGAGTAAACTACGGAGCTAAGGGCATGGACCTGTAAGATAGAAGCCAAGGAGGAGCCAGCCTCTTCTTGTTCTTGGTTTAGGCAGCGGTGCGCTGGTGAGTGCTTTAACAGCCAGCTCTCTGAGACAGAAATGTCTGTTGCATATATAGTCTGTTAGGTGTAAGTCTGTTAGAAATTGTACTGACATACAAATAATAAAATACACAATTCACTTAATAGAATAGGCAATACTATTAAATACAATAAATGTGCAATAGAGTAATATAATTCAACAAAATGTATTATTCACAAATCATAATGGAATATGCAACACTGTTTATTGTGAATTTTACAGCTCACTGGCAAGAGTTCATAATCCAAGCCAGCTCACCAGGATCCGCTATATCAGGGTTTGAGGCTGGATTCCCATTAACAGTGCGTCTTTTCTTTTTGTTTTGCCTGGGCTTGTTCTCTGCTGTTATTGGACCCCTTGGCAATCTCATGGCGGAGAAGATGGAATGGGGGCTGAAGATAGAGAGTTCCCATGTTTGAGACCTTGGGACTCAGCCACTTTTTCTAACACCCTTAATACTATCTTAGCATCACTACTACTGTACGGAAGTAGAAACCAAACCAATTTCTCAGTTCCTAACCAGAAATTGGACTCTTCCTGAAAGACCAGGGAAAAAGCAGAACTGGACATGAATGTCTGTGAGCTAGTTAGTTGGAACCATGAGATCTTATGCTGGGCTTGTCTGCTGACTCCGGGGAAGTTTTCTGTTCGGTAGCCCACATTTTCAAATGCTGTTTGCTATTTAGGAAAGCGTAACAGCAAAGCATGATTGGCTCTTGGGTCGGTGTGGAGCTTAACTCAACAAATGGAAAAGACTGGTGGCCTCCAGCATTTTTTTTTTTTTTGAAATTTGAAATTAATTTATGAAAACCTAAAATTAGAACACATGAAGTGGGGAGTGATGTTGTTTTTTTCCAAAAGGGCTTTTGCCTTATAAAAAGAGCTACAGAAAGTTACCTGAAAAAATCCTCTTCAGATAGTTTTAAATGGTGCTTACAAAATCCTCATTTCTGTATATGCTTGCAGAATTACACCAATTGCATTTAACATACTGAACCTACATTCATAGGACAGTATCCAGAACCTGCCTTCTTACATCTGTAAAAAATAGGAAATATGACCCAAGTTGGGGTTGGGAGTATCGGGGTTACATGCTAGCATAAGGAGATGCTTGGGGAAGGGAGAGAGAGAAACATCAATCGGTTGCCTTCTGTACATGCTCCAATGGGATCGAGCCCGCAACCCACGTATGTGCCCTAACCGGGAATCGAATTGGCAACTTTTCGGCACATAGGATGATGCTCAACCAACTGATCCACTCCAGCCAAGCCAAAAACCTTTTTCTTCTTTGCTAGGCTGAGAGTCACTTGCAGTCAACGTGACCGAGCCAGCAATTTTGAAACTGCTTTTGTCTCTGTAACACATCCTGGGCCAGTGAAATTCCTAATAAAAGCAGAAACCTTAGCTTGAGTGAAAGTTTTAAACTTTCATGTTCCTGGAAAATGTCTCCGTGAAACATATAAATGAGGGGAAAGTATGGGTTTTGGAGCAGGGGCCAGTGTGCATGAAATGAGATAACCCTACAAGTTCCACACACTCATAAAATTCCGAATTAAGTTTACCCAAACTGTCTCTTGGAAATTGTAAAAAGCCTGTGTCCAGAAGAAAAAAAGAATCGTTCAGGCATCATTAGGAGTCAGGTTCTTTTCCTGAGCAGTTTCCAGATCCTCTGATGAGCCTTAAGTGAACGTGAGCTATGCTACAGATGTGACAATAAATGATTAGTAGGCCTTCGCTTGAGCCTTAAACAAAGTAATTACATTTCCATCTGAAAACTCCCTTAAGCTCTGTGAACTCTGGATTTCAAAGGGAGCATGTCTAACTGGGCAGGACAGGCAGGCTGCTCGTGGGCATGGAGAGCAGAGATTAGAAACAGAAGCAAGCCAAACCATGTGATTTGTCTTCTTAACTTGCTATTGCCTCATATTTGTGCTGAGACAATTTCTTTCTACCTTAGCTTCTCCAACTTGGAAATGTGTGATCTTCTGTGCAGCAGTGTTCTGATGAAACGGGGAACCCAGGGATCTCCTGGCCCCTTTCACCACATTTCCCACCTCCTCCCACCACGTGGGGCTCGAGGGCTTGTGTCTCCACCTCTGTGCACACGCTCTCTTCCCAGCTACAGGTGCCATTTCCACTGCTGTCCATTATCTGGATCCCTCATTTCATGGCCTTATGCAAAGAAGTCCTTCCTATTCTAGGGAAGTTTCCAGGATGGCCACCATCCTGGAACTCTCTGCAAACCAGAGGACAGGTGGTCACTGCTGTAAGTCTCCTGGAGAGGTAGGCTGGGGCCATGAATTGGCACGAAGCTCCGATCAGTCTCCCCATGCACTGTATGCAGTCGCTGGGGCCAAGTCGCAGTGTAAAATGAAGTAAATGGAAACATACAGTCTTACTAACACACAGTGTACACACAGTGTACGAACGTAGCAGAGATTTTGTCCTTTGATTCATGATACCATTCTATATTACAGTCCTGCTGTCTCTTCCCTTTGGGGGCTCCTGTCTACTTTTAAGATACAGTTCAAATGTCTTAGCCCCAGGGACAAAGCCCTTTGTGCCCTAGCCATGACTCTCCAGCCTCCCTTTGTCATGTCATTCTTCCGCATCCACATCTGTCCATCTGTTGTTTGGACTCCTCCCGGAATGACTGCTACTTGTCCTTTAAAGTAAAAATTAGGTCAAGCGTCACTTCTTCTTGGCTTTTGGATGGATTTTTCTGGGATCTTCCAGGTTGGGTCAAGCCCCGCTCTGCACTCCTACAAGGATCTTTCCTTGGAGCACTTCCTGCTTTGTCTAGTCATGACCTTTCTTATCTCATTCAAGGACAGACCATCTTCAACTTTGCCCCCAGCATCCAGCAAAGTGCCCAACACAGTAATTCCTCGATTAGTGTTTGAAAGAAGGCATGATCTGTTGCATTACCTAGAAATAAAATAATGAATATGAAGAGAGGAAAGAAAACAAGACAAGAGATAGTCTCTGACTCAACTAAAGAAATCAGAATTTTGACACCGTTCAGTGACCCATGGGAGAGAAGAAAGACACAAAAATCTGTGCCCCTGCCTGTGATTGATGAATGCTGGAGCTCTGACAGCATGTGACTCAGGTATTCCTAAGAACATAAAGCCTTGGAAAAGGGCAAGCATACTACTCAGGAAGAACTTCAAATAAAAATTATCACTAAGCAAACACTGAGGGAGAGCTGTCTTCAGTAAGAAATAATGCCTTAGGAATGCACCAGGATTCAGAACAAATAAATCTAGAGAAAGAAGAGATTGTATCCAACGGAACCTGTTCTGTTAGCTGGAAAGTTAAGAGGGATGACTCATAGCTCTCCTGGGTCACATAGTACAGTAGGTAAATCAATGACATGGTAGCAAAGAATCTACCGCTTCTTAGTTCGGTATGCTTTTAGCTCAGGGGAAGAGAGGTATTTCATTCTATGACAGCCAGTATGCCACAGAGCTATTTGGTTGATAGGGTCAAAGAAAGTATCAATATAGAGAACTCTCCAAGTTGGTTATAGTACATAGCAGTGACAGTCTGAAGCTGTATCGCATTGCACAGCTGTGTTGGTGAACCCCCTAAGGTGCTGTTAACTTGTGGAGTGCTGGTTTATCAGGATCCCTGCGGCCAGGGTTATATTGTTCCCAGCTCAGCCCCACCCTCCTCCAGGAGGATTAATGGTGGAAAACCCCCGACGGGCACTGAACTAAACAACACTCAGTAATGTTTCCATGAAACCTCTACAGTAAATGAGTATTGAAAGGAGGCCGTGTTCAGAACCTTGGGCCCTGGTGCAAGGAGCCGAGAATCCAGATAGCATACATTCTCATCACTGTCTTTCTGCAGGGAACAGACAAAAGCTTTCCTGCCAGAGAGGCTTGTTGGGTTTGAGGGTTTCTAATAGGCCTGTTTTCAAAATGAACAAACACGTGTCTGTTCCTTTGCAAAGATCTTGCTGGCCTAGAGGAGGCCAATGCTGGGGCATCAGAGTAGGGCAGTCAGGACCTCAGTGGCTGTATTTTGAAGACCCTGGAGGCTTATTTCTTCTCAAAACCAGATTTGAGTGGCTCTCTTTGCCTGGCCTCTAGTGTTCCCTCATCCAGCATCATTGGAACATTTCCTGCCCCAAAACACATCAATACACTGACAAGGTGGCAAAGAGACCCCAAGCTGATAGTTCACCTCGAAGTGATTTTGGGCTTTGCTGCCAGAATCATCCTCATTTACACTATTGCCACTTGTGTTTTGTTGTTGGTAAGGAAAGAACCCAGCAGGTGGTCAAGAGTGCATTGTCTGGCTCTAGTCTGGGTTCTTTGTAAATGCAGTTAACTGGCCGATTAACTGATTCTCACACTTCCTCTCTCACCTTCTAAGCATGCAAACATTAGGAGGCTCAACCTCAAATCTATTTTTCTATATTTCTGGTGGTTCCTGAGTACTTCCCTTAGAGCCAGTCTGCCTGAGTTTATGCTACTTCTGTCGGACACAGGCCACGCTGTTCAAGCTCTCTCTATGCCTTTTTCCTCACCTTAAAAATAGGGGGTCATAATTAGAATACCTACCTCATGGACTTCTAGAGAGGAGTAAATGAGTTAACACGTGTGGAATGCTTAAGTGTTAGGTGCCATAGTTTTTAAGCCCTTTGGCATGCACAGATTCTCAGATTCAACCTTGCAGTTGCACAGCATAGAACATGTAGCTGAAAGGGATTGACTGTGTGGCCAGCTTTTTGTTTTTATAAAGGAGACAACTGAAATCCAGAGAAGAGATAGGTCTTTTCCCAGCATCACATGGCTGTTAGAGACAGAGCGAGAAGCAGCATCAGAGCTCCCTGCCACTTGAAGCATCTTTCTCGAGATCCCTGGCCACCGGACAGAGGATCAGATTCTTACAGAGTAAGTTGGCTACTTCCTGCATTAACTAGCCTTGCTTAGGCTTTGCGAATGGGCATAAAGTTGAGGACTTCATAGTTTAAGGATATAATGCCAGATTCTGAGTGTGTGAACTCAGGAGGAGAGAAGGATTTCAGAAGACAAAATTACGAGTGGCCAGTGGCCAGAGTTCCCATACTTCGAGGGCGATGGAAATGTGCTTTATCTATAGCTGCACAGTGGCCAAGTGGGCTGCATAGGAGGAGATGGACATGGATTCTCTAATTGGGACTAAAAAAATTTAAAACTAATTTTTTTTAAACCTGTGTTTTATATACATTCAGTATGGCAACACAGTAATGAAATTGGCTTCATCAATCAGACAGTAAAATGCCTTTATAGTCATGTCTCATGTATTATCTACAGTCTCCACCATCCCTCCCTCAAGGTCATGACTATCCTTGTCAATCAGACAATGTAGGCATCATGGCCCCTCCTTACTGTCTCTCCCCTCTTCCCACATTGGTGGCTTCTATAAATCTCCATATACCGACTGGGGTGAGGCATAGTGTGGAATGATAAGACAGGAAGAAAAGAATTAAAAATCACCCTTAGAATAAAACCAGTCCACAGGCCCAACTTGTAAGTGAGTCAAGGGTTATGCTTTCTTGTGGGCAACTGTCAACCTTGGTGGTCAGATGGTTTCCTAGAGCCAGGGACACAGGGGAACCCCCAGAACAAGAGGACAGTTTCTCTCCAAACGTGCAGAGCTCATCACCCCTTCACTTTTGTTGTGTCCAGATAGTCTTCATTCCCTGAAGGTTGAGGATACCTCTTCCTGTTTGCCTCTTGGGTTCTCAGGAACGGGGAGTTACCAGATTTTGTCAGTTAATATTCTTAATTTATGCTTTATGCCTCACTGAGCCTGACAGGTTAGGAAGGAAATGGTGTCTGTTTCTAGGATTGAGCCTGCTAAGGTTTTGAAATAGCCTAGAGTAGCCCTGGTGTTGGCCACCAGGAAGAGGTACCTAGAAGTTCTCTCCTTCTCAGTGTGGGACAATGTCCATTGACCTGTCTCCCCTTTCCTTCCGACCAGGAGGTTGCATCTGAAGGCGTGGTATGAAAATGAATAACCTGAGAAAGCACAGCAGGATGTGAGTAAATTAAAGCATTGGGGATTTTCCCTTGGGTTTTTAGGCAAAGAGGACCTACCTTCTATAAAAACTTAAATGAAAAAAGTACTAACATAAGTGAACGTAGGGGCAAGTCCAAAGCCAAGATGCCATTTTTGCTCTAAGTAAATTCACTGAGGGAATTTCCCCCCTGAAAGAAAGAAGAAGGAAAGAAAGAAGAAAGAAAGAAAGAAAGAAAGAAAGAAAGAAAGAAAGAAAGAAAGAAAGAAAGAAAGAAAGAAAGAGAAAGAAAGAAGAAAGAAAGAAAGAAGAAGAAAGAAGAAGGAAGGAAGGAAGGAGAAAGAGAGAGAGAGAGAGAGAGAGAGAGAGAGAGAGAGAGAGAGAGAGAGAGAGAAAGGAGAGAAAGAAAGAAAGAAAGAAAGAAAGAAAGAAAGAAAGAAAGAAAGAAAGAAAGAAAGAAGGAAAGAAAGAAAGAAAGAAAGGAAGAAAGAAAGGAGAAAGAAAAAGAAAATGAATGATTTGGAACCACTGCTTTCACTGTTCTAATTTCCCACTCTTCTGAGGGGGCTCTTGGAGGTTAATCAAGGGGAATACTGTCAATGGGTTGGATAGTTGTGGAAACTAATGAGTTAATACTACTTGCAGCCTTTATTGAAAAGGAAATCGAACTGGCACAATTGACATGGGTCAGAGCACTTGAATGCAACGCAAGGGTGACAAATGATAATGAGGTTGCAGTGAGGGGAGTATTCTACCCTGTTACCAATAGGCGTGGTGACCCTGGTTTCTCTGAGGTAGAGGGATCTGGCTTTGGCATTGCCCGTGTCAGGCACCCAGGGCATTCCCCTGCTGACTCTCTCCTGAGGGGCAGAACTTGCTAAATATCTCACAAGCCCAAATTCCGGGTCCCTGTTTGTTGCAAGAGGTCAGCCAGCATTCTGACCCGTCTCAGGTTCCTGGTTATGGTGCTTTGAATTGGGTGGCTCAGAAATCCCCAGAGATTTCACTGTCTGATTTCTGGAAGTTCATTTAAAGTGAAACTCAGCAACAGGATCCCCAAAGAAAATAGAAAAATTAGCACGTTCTAGGAGTAGCTTCTTGGTTGCGGGGGTGTGTGTGTACAGGTAGCCAGCCCCATTGAGAGCCATACCCCTGGCCATCATTTCACAGAGAGCAGCACAGCTTCTGCCTTCCCTCTGAGGGGGGCCTGCCTCACAGAGAGGTGGCTTCTTTTATTGTTGCTTTGAAACACTTATTGTTGTCTTTTGTTTTGCTGTCACCATGGAAACTAATAAATAGAGAAGCGTGATTTCTTCATCGTCTCCAACTTCAGATGCACTTCTCTGCCAGGGTACCTGAGAGCATACAGCTGTTGGGGATCAGCAGGAGAGGGAGAGTGAAGGCGGGGTATGGGAAGCACTGGTCAGTTCCAGTCGGGGCTTTATGTCTGGGAAACAATGTACTCGCATGCCAGTTCCTGGCATCTGGTGTGCTTTGCAAAAGGGTACAGTGTTTTGGCTCTCTTTCATGGAGCTTTCTTTCGGGGGCTGTTTTCTTTAACTTGGGCATGGTGTCACACCGACTCACTCCAGTGGAATCCCATTAAATGTCCCTAATGCGTTTGCTCCAGCTGTGGACATGTGTTTTGATTTACATTGTGCTTGGATGGCCTGTGCGTATGCTTCATTCCTATGGAAGACATAATTTGCAACAGAAGACTTGGAATAGCAGCATCCTGCCTCCAAAATCATTGGAACAAGAAGAAAAGACTCCCTGATTAATTCCCAAATCTCAGACTGCTCTTCAGAGAGATACTATTTTAAGTGGTGAACTCAGTGTGATTCTCAACCCTGGATCCATAACAGCCTCTCCTGCATGGAACATTAACTACTCATACCCTCATCCTACCCATCCCCATCTCTCCCAGTCCCAGAGATTCCCAGCATATCTTGGGAGGTAGCCTTGGGATCAACAATAGATAGATAGATAGATAGATAGATAGATAGATAGATAGATAGATAGATGATAGATAGATAGATAGATAATAGATAGATAGATGATAGATAGATAGATAGATAGATAGATAGATAGATAGATAGATAGATAATTTTTTACACAGAGATGAATTCAAAGATCAGCCATAGTTGAGAACCACTGAGTCCATGTGGTCTTTTAAAGGCAATTTGCTATAATGACAAATCATAGGTACACCTAAGGATAGGGAGAGGAAGAGCTATGCATGGACATAAAGACAGCCAAAGAATGCACATGGTCACTAGGGGGCTTCATGGTTACAGCCAACTGCTCCCTTACCTCATGGGCTAATTTGGCTTTCTGTAAAGGTAAGTGTTACAAAACTCTGTAGAAGTGTCATGGTTTAGAATCAGAGGCATTGGAAGGTTGCAGAAGGGGCATGCATGAGTGAGCCCACAAATGAAGAGCCATTCATGATCTGCACCATGTGTGGCTGGTTCCCGGTAGATATTCTTCAGTTGGATGGGGCTCAAGCTTTTGAGGGTTGTTTGGGACATCTGATAGACACACAAGCTGGTAATAACCACCTACTATGTGCCAGCTACTCATCTAACGCTTTACTTACATGACCTCTACAAGGTAGGCATTATTATTCCAGTTCTATAAACGAGATGGTAAAGACCCTTGCCCACATTCATTCAGCTGGTGGGAAGGGTTGGAACTCAGATCTGTGGTGGTCCCAAAGTCAGACTGTGGCCACTCCATCACCCAGTCTCATCACCTACCCTATGGAGGGAGCCACACTGGAAAACTGAAGACCATGGAGCTGAAAGCTATGCAACCACTTCAGAGAAATATGTCAGAGATTTACATGCAAGGGTATGTTCATAAGACATGTCCTAGCCAAGGGCCAAATATTCTTGTAAATGTGGCAGTGATGACTGAAGAGTGTGATGACAACCATATTAAGCATGCATAGTGGAGTGTTAACCTCCGTTCAATCTGGGTGGTTTTATTTATCTGTTTTTCTGTATGTTTGAAATATTTCATTGCTAATCATTCTTGGGCAAAGGAACATGGGAGAAAGTGGATAAGCTCTTCCTCATTATGAATTATTCAGGTGGTTTCCCATAAGTTGAAGGGCAGATAATTGCTGATATGACCTCAACAAAGATAAGGTGGAGAAAGAAATGTTTGCTAATTAACTACAAAGGAAAAAGAAGTGTGAGAGATGATTAAATCCGCTGCTCCTGTGCTCTGTGCTCCCCCAAAGCATCACCCCAGGACTGTCTGTCTCTTCCAGCTTAACGACTGAAAGTAATTAGCCAGCAGTATACTCAAGGAGAAGAGATCTTTCTAGTTTTGTGTAGGATGCCCGTTGTAAGTATATATTTTTTTCCATAGATTATACTAGAGGCCCAGTGCACGAAATTTGTGCACAGAGGTGGGGTCCCTCAGCCCGGCCTGCACCCTCTCCAATCTGGGACCCCTCAGGGGATGTCCAACTGCCTCTCGCAATCCGGGACCGCTGGCTCCTAACTACTTGCCTGCCTGCCTGCCTGATCGCCCCTAACCCCTCTGCCTGCCTGCCTGATCCCACTAACCACTTCTGCCTTCCTGTCTGATCACCCCTAAATGATCATCTACTGGCCTGTTCACCCCTAACTGCTCCCCTGCTGGCCTAATCGCCCCTAACTGCCTCTGCCTTGCCCCACACTCAGGACCCAGGATTCCTTCCTACAGCCAGTTGCAGCCACTCAGGACCCGGGCTGGCTTTGCCCAGGCCAGCCACAGCTGCAGGGGACTGTGGGCGGGTGGCTTCGCCTGGGCTGCAGCTGCAGGCACCCAGAACCACGGGGAGGGCAGCTTGTCCCTCTCCCGGGCCGGGCTGCAGGCACAGCTGCTGTCACCCAGGATCTCAGGGCATGTGGCTTGTCCTTCTCCTGGGGTGCAGGCACAGCTGCTGGCAACAGGGCCTGCAGAGCGGGCAACTTGTACCTCTCCTGGACTGCAGCCTGGCCAGTTCCCATTCCTTTCTGGAGAGCTCATTTGTGCCTGGCTGGTCCCCATTCGTCTCTCCCTAGTTTGAGTGTCTGAGCAGTTACAGTGTGAGGTTGTGATGCCATGAGGGCATGACAACCATTTGCATATTGCTCTTTATTATATAGGATGAGTGCTCGTGAGCTGGGATTGCTGTACATTAAACACTCAAAATTATGAGACCAACCATCCCCAGGGGTCACTTGCTTTTGGAGTGAACCTCAAAGGCAGTCCTTGCTAGGAAGAGATTCTCCCAGATTCCAGTAGTTTTTGCTCAAAAAGCTTTCTTACACTGCTTTCCAGGTTCAGTGTGACACAGAAGGTTGTGCTTCGATTTTTGACTTGGGATTCATGGAAGTTATCAATGAAGTTTAATTTTCTAATCTCTCACTTCAGAGCAGCTGTCACAGCTCAGCCAATGTTTGTTGTGTGTGCAATATAAGGAAGGAGTCACCATTTATTTCCCAATGCATTTTGGCTATGAGACACTCATGTATACGTCTTAGTGGGAACCATTGATTTGAAGAAAGCTACTAATATAAATAAGCTGTGACAGAGAGAGTTCATCCAAGTTTTAATGAGACATCTCATCTCTCCTGCTGAGTTAAAAAAAAAACTTCTTTGACACTTTAATCTCCAGGAAGAATGAAAGCAGAAAGGGCAGTTTAAGACACACTTCTTGCCCATGTCAATCATATTAATAGGGGGTGTCCCAAAAAATGTATACACATGTAACAACTGATAGCTTGGTTGATGTTTCTTTCTTTTCAGATTTAACCTGTTGGAATTAATAAATTATTTAAAGTGTGTTTAATACATTTTGGGGGGATACCCTGTATGTAAGAAATCAAAACCACATATACAAAAATCACTTCACTTTTGTTTGAAAAATGTATAAGTACAATTAAATAAGACTAGAAGAATATACAAACCAGCATGTTCATAGTGATTGACTTTTCTTAAAGATGATATTATAGATGATTTTTATTTTATTTTATTTTTCTTGCATTTCTATGTTTTCAAAATTCTCTCTACCAAGCCTATATAACTAGTATAACAGGAGAAAAATACAATAAATGTTTAGGGCCAAGAAAGAAATGGAAAAGAAGCGAATATGCATGCTACAAGTGGACCTTTTCTAGTGAGGGGACGTCTCGAGCTGCAATACTCACATGCACCCCACCAGGGGCAGGGATTGGACCTGCCACACAGAGCCATGCCCTAGATTGGGACTCAAACTCATGACTCTCCAGTGCACAGGCC